GATCCATTTTTGGGTAGAGTTTTGTAAAAATTCAAATTTTGTTCAATTATTTGTTTGATATTTCACACGGAATGAAAGGCTAAGACTAGGCTCTTTGCAAAGACAAAAACGAGTATACAAAACCTTGAAGTTTCTTGGCAGACTTTTGTGATTACCCAAAAGTCTCCAAAATCCCCATCCATTTCCATTACCCAATCCCATCACATAATCATCATCATTGAGTAGAGTCGAGGCCAGCCGAAAACTCTTTCAAAAGAAGTTTAACTGCTGATTCCGCTGATGCTTCGGTCCGGGGATGGGGGAACTCAATTAGGCCGCGTGCACTCGCCGGATTCATTCGATTCACTCAATTCGATAATCGATTAGATTGCCCATTTTTATGAGCAGCTTGGAAAAATAAAATTGCTTACCAGCCACAAAAGTTGCCCAAGTCATAAATACATATATGTACGAACGTGCTAGTTCTGTGTGTGTGTGTGTGGAATGGAAAGTTTTCCTCCGGCGTTTGGGATCCCAAACCGAAATGCAATGCCCCCGAATGTCGGGCCACGAAGCAAAAATAATTGATAACAGATTATGTTTTACAATCTAAGCAAAGAGCAGGTCGTCGTAGTACGAGAATTTTAATGGACGCATGAAGCGGGGCACACGTACAGAGCACCCGGATGCGGATGCGGCTCCGTTTTCGGCTGTGGCTATGGCTATGGCTACGACTCCTCCTGTTCCGGCAGTGAGTTACCCGCAAAACGTTTGCAAAACTTAATTATTTCGTTTTGACCTTTTTGTGGGCCACACACGAGCATTGGAGAGTGGACTGAGAGAGAGAGAGAGGGAGGAGGGGGGTAGGATGAATAGGGGAAAGAGGCCAGAGTGCAGAGAGATGGACAGTTAAAAAAGTTATTTATTTTATGGTCAAAAGTTACTTTGGCCTGTTTTATGGCTGCGGAAGTCAGAAAGGAAACGAAATCCTAGCCCCACAGTCAAACAACAGTGCTGACCATCTAGCTATTTTATTGCTGAAAACATGGAGACGCACCACAAAAAAAAGGTGAAACAAATACAACATGAGGAGATGCTACCTAGTAGAAAAAATCAGATAAGTAATTCCAAATACAAAAACTAAATGCTCAAAGACTTTCCCCGTATAAAGTAAGCCACATTCTCCGCTTTCTCCTCAAACTTATCTTTATATATCTTTTTGGTGGCAGGGCAGCCAGTTCCAGCTTCTTTTCGCGAGCAGTCATCACTGGCAGCCCCGTGTGTGGCTTTTGGAATTTTCTCGAGCGTGCAGCATAAATCAAAAAAGGAAAATATTATAACTATGTAAACGTGGATCTTTGTTAAATTTTAATTGTGACCTCAGCCGTCGGAGGGAGCATCAGCAGCAGCTCCCTTGGAAGCGGAGCCGGAACGAGCTGCTTCTTTGGAACCGGACCCAGCCCGAGCTGGCTCCTTGGAGGCGGACCCAGAACGAGCTTTAGAAGCGGAGAGAGCCGACGACCTGTTCTCCTTCTCAGTAAAGACGACTACCGTCCCTGGCCGCTGATCAGTCACCTCTGTGGCCTCGGTGGCCTGAACGGCCTGAACGGCCTCAGTGGCCTCGTTCTCCTCGTCTTCCCCGACATGCGTTACGTGGGAGGCCATGCTCACCATGCTCGTTGCCGTTGCCAGATCTGCTGTGCTTCTCTTTTCAGCCAGGAGCTTTAGTACCGAGTCCTTGAAGAACTTCGTCTCGTCCAGCCTCTTGCGGTACAAGCCGGAGGGGTGATCGGGATCGAAGACAATGTTGGGCCGTATATCCCCATCGGTGACAAGGACCTTGGCCCCGGGAATCGGAAGGAACTTGAACAGACGCTTGCGCAGCTTGGGCATGAAGGTGACCTTCTGGTGGTCGGGGACGTGGAAGAGCTTGCCGGTGATCTCCGTGGAGGGCAGCACCACGGGGCGATCAATGAGGCGCCTATCCTCGGGCAGGCTCTCCTTGATAGCCTCCAACTGGCGCGCCGTCAGCTGGAGTGGGCGTTCGGCGTCCTTCCAACGCTCCTGGCCGCTGTTGAAGGCGATCTTCTTGTTGTTCTTCAGCTGCTTTCGCACCGCCCGCTTGGCCACGCAGTTGTAGACGATCTTTGGCACGTACTCGGGCACCGGGAAATTCCGCACCGAGATGGGAATGTGCAGGGGATTGGTCACCATATTTACGTACTTGGCATCAGCGAAAAGGGTGAGGTTCTTCTCCGGCTTCTTGGCCTCCTTCTTAGCGATGGCGTCCTTCTTCTTCGGCTTTGGCTTGTCTTTCTCGCTCATGAGGAAGATGTGCTGGTGGCCCCCACCCTGGACGTGACCCCAATCGGGATCGCAGTAGCGTTCCTTCTTGATCCGCTTGTACGGCAAGCGACGGAACTTCAGGCGCTTTTGCTCGTCAATCAGAAGCTGCAGGCCCGGCTTGCTTATCTTTCCCGACGGACAAGGACAGCTGATCGCGTAGCTGGTGCCGTATCGTCCTGGCCCTGGCTCAAAGGTTATGTGGCGCCGCATCATAAAGCTGGGCTTCGTGGGGACGCACGACTGGCGCAGGAATAGGTGCGGATTGGGGCGAGCAGTCTTCGTGACCGGCACCATGTTCTTCTGCACCTCGTGGATGTTCGAGTGGGTGTCGGCGGGCCCCGGATCGGCGGGGTTACGCCAGCAGCCCGTCTCACTGGAGACCATGAAACGGGTGGTCGCTGGACGATCGCGGGCATCTAAAGGAGAATATTATTTGAAGAAAAAATACCTAACAGTGCTGCTCCTCTCCTTACTCGATAGGAAGATCCCTTTCTGCAGATTGTCCCGCTTAAACAGACGCTCGATTTCCGACGGAAGATCGTAGAATTTGAATGGAGGCGGCTTTGTCGAGACGCGTGCGTGATTTGTGTGCTGCTTGGCGAACGTCGTTCCCTTGGAGCCCTTCTTCCTGAGGTAGGGCACCGGAGGCACCCCGTAGTGATTCGGTGGCAGCTGCCATCCCTTCCACGTGGTCATGGTACGGTCAATGCGCAGGCTGCGACGCTCCGGATACGGGTTCTTTGGCTGCTTGTCATAGCCCGTGACGTGCCGATAGTGGTCAAAGGTGGCCTTGCTGGCGCCTTCACCACGATTCTCTGAGGGAAGAGCAGAGGAAAGGGCATAGGATTCCTGTGAAAAGTCTATGGCTTCTATTAGAATGCTTACCCTTCTTGCAATCCTGATTGTAGTGCTTTCCAGCCAACTTGAATTGGCTCTTGAGCTGCGGCAATTCATCCTCCCTGATGCGATTGCCTAAAGAAATACAGGATTACTCTTGGAGGAACATGTTGAGACCGCACACCGAAGACCTACGTGACAGCATGAAGAGCGGCACACTCATCCGCGTGGCCACGAAGCTCTGCCGATCCTCATTTTTCAGTTTCTGGGGTAGCTTATGCATGGCTCTATATTGTTTCAATTTTGTAGATTGTAGAAAAATATAAATACTTCGATACAGTTAAGGTAAGCTCAACAGTGTTTTGTTATATTCAAGGGATTGGTTTTGACGGAGTAAATCTGCTAAAAATTCAAGGGTTACTAAGGGTAAGGTGTCGTTTAGAAACCTTAAAGCTTAAGTGCTTAGCTTAGCAGCCTCAAATTAAATGCTAGAGTGGTACAATCTATTCTAAATATATTATCTACACATCCATCAAATCTCCTAGGGATTGCTATAGCCCCTATACTCCTCATAAAATTCTATAATCCCCACAAACTGAGGCAAGCAGTGAAAAAAATCCTTCTTAAACGTATTATCTACTCATCTATCAAATCGGATCAAAAAGTGAAGCCATTCTTATAGCTTATATTATATTTTTGTGCTAAAATTCCATTTGTGTTTTTTGCCCCCAATTATTTATCAATAAACAATGATAAAAAACCCCACCACTCCCCTTTTAAATTGTTACTCGTTTGTTGGCCAAATAATTTCATTACAAAGCCACAAAGATACTTTATATACATAATTAGATGTATTAATGCATATGGTTATATCCACGGAGGATATAGCCATGTAGCATCCATTCACGTGCACAAACACACACAGTGGCCGCATAATTAGCGTAGCGAAGCGAACTGATTAACTTGCATTCAACGATTTTCAATTGAATTTCGCAGTTGGTTGATTTGTGCCAAAAAAAAGAGAGAGAGCCAGGGTTCGAATAAAACAAGGAGGTAGAAACTCTGTCCAAGAGGGATCGAAGCTTAAGATACCCTATCTCATTCAACGAACCTCGAGTCAAGCATAGCATCAATGTGAAGCATCGTGCACGAGCAATGTATGTTGTTTTTGAAATTCTTATGCATTTCCCTCTTCTGCATTCACTCGTGCCTCTCTCTTATTTTATTAAAATGTATCGTATGACAGCTATATGATATATGTAGCTATCGGACCTTTACGGTTTTTGGCTGCATTTTGATTTTGCAATCAAAGTTGCAAGCCGATATCTACAACTTTTCATATAAGTATTCACACATCTGTGGATGCTTCTTCTCCGCTTGTCAAATAGCCTCCCAAAACCATCATACCCTCACTTCAATGGGTATGATGAAAGCCACTACAAAAAGTTGTGGGAAAGCAGGGACCTGTCGTGCGACGGCGATGGCAATCAGCCATGAAGGCGGTGCAGGGGCTTGCCCCATGGCGGAGGATGGAGCACTGGTTCGTGTGGAAGAAAGGAACGAAACGGATCGGACGGGGGAAAATATGCAGCCGGGCAAATGATGAATGTGAAATGTTCCATTAATTAATTTGATTAAATGCAGGCAATCAGCCAAGCGCGGGAAGTCGCCCGGAGGTGATGCCCGCTGCAGAGTGGGGCAGACCCAATGGGTGGGGGAATGGTGGGGTGCGACGCCTCTGTAAAGTGGAAATTTCGCAAAAACCAAAGGAGAGGACGACCAAGGTAGAATCCTGCAGTAAATAGTAAAAGTTCCGATAATGCAGATAATGCGAAAGAAACGGGAAATTTTTATTTTTTATTTATCAACATTTTCATAGGTTTTGATGACCTTCGGTTTAAGTTCACCCGGCTTGCCCTTCTTGCCCTTGTTAGCCAACTTCGCCTCCTTCTTGGCCTTCTTTGCCTCCGCCTTGGCCTTCTTGGCGGCCTTCTTATCAGCCTTGCGCTTCTTGGCCAGGTTCACTGCAAACCAATAGAGCAGAGTATTACTTCGTATCCTATAAGATCTCACCCACTCGCCCACTTACCCTTGACTATCCGAGCGGCGGCCAGGTTGATGGGCAGCGGGGCACACTTGAAGCCCGCCGGCGGTGCCTTGCTCAGGCGGATGAACCGGAAACCGGTGGCATAGAGCATCCCCAGGCAGGCCTGCGGCCGGATGCGGCTCTTGGGCCAGTTCGTGAAGTACAGGTCCGCCCGCTTAACCTCCGCCATCTTGACGCCGTCCGTGTCGCGCCAGTAATGCATCACGCGGTTGATGCTTCGCTGCTGCAGCTTCCAGCTGTGCCACTTGGGGTACTTCTGGTAGCTGGTCATGCAGCTGGGTCTGTCCACGTAGAACCAGGCCTCCCCATCGGGATAGTACTTCATCTTGGCGGAGGTTCTTCTTTCTAATAAGGGAAAATGTTTAAAATGGAAATTTTGAGAAAGAGAAAAGTTTTCGTCTTCTTTTTGTTAAAATGATTTCAAAATGAATTTGGAAATTTGTGTTCAAAATGAATAATTTTTAGCTATAGCCAAGCTATTGTGATGCGAGATGTCGATGTATAGATTAATTTTGATTTTTGAGGGAATTTCAGAGGTATCGGTTTTTAGAGAGTTAAAGGATAAGTGATCTGGAGTGCCGAAAACAGCTATAAAGATAGTTTCAGAGACCTTTCTAAGGGAACAGTTATGGGAACAGTCCGTCACTCCTAAGCTGATTTTTAATACTCTGAGGATTCATAGTCCGATTCATAATCCGTTTTATCGAAAAATATGTATCTACCCTTTTTTTTTGCTGGCAATAATTAAAGAAAACTTTACATTTTGTGGTTTCAGCATCGTTGGACATAGTTCTCCTTAATTTACATAAATATATACGCCCGATATGGCTGCCATAGGAACAATTGGGAATGTTTCCAAAAGTTTTAATCCCCAAAAGTACAACCTCCTTTCTAGTTTTTAAAAAGTGTTGAAACTCTTGAAAGTTCCAACAATTTCCGGTTAAAAGTCGAATGCCTGATGGAATTGAATTTATCGGAGGCTGTTATCCGCTTGCTAGTTGCATGTGCCAGGCACTTACTGGCACTAACTGCTGTAAAAACTAAGCAGCACTTGCCGCAAAAAGTTGAGCTCATTAGGAGAGGAGAGGGGGAGCTGGAGCAGCAGCAGCAGCAGCAGTAGTAGACTGTGGCAGGAGCAGCAGCAGTAGAGTGAGTGGCCGCTTCGAAAGGACAAAGGTGATGTCGAAAAACTGTCAATTAGGTTTAATTATTTTATGCTGCAGGGGCAAACACACACACACATACACACACAGAGAGATGCTCCAATGTGGGAGACCCTTCTTATGCAACCTCAACGAGGTGGCAAGGCGGGTGTCACCGCTCTGCGTGTGTGTGTGTGTGTGTCTTTTGCTAAGCAAAGTCAATTATCCAAGCAGCTTTGATGCAAGTAATTGGCATAATGAAATTTCCTCTTCAGTCAGCGCCCCGACAGGACCAAAACCGCAAAGAATAGAAGCCGCAACATCGTCAGGAGAAGGAGGATCCGCAGGATGGCAGTGGCAGTGGCCATAACCGTATTAGCATAGCAAGTGGGGCCACGGAAAAGCTCTTTTTTTTGTTGGCTGCGTATTGAGTAAATATTTAAGCAGTCCGGCAGCTGTCGCCGGGCATTAATGGCATACATCAGGGCCAAAAAACTTGAGCTCGAAAAGAAAAGCAGTCGAGGAAAAGCTGCTGCTGCCGCTGCTACTGCTGCTGCAGGCACTGTCCCAAAGTGCAAATATGTTGCGGCCAAAGCCGCAAAAACGTTTAAATATTTTATAAGCCAAAGGCACTTGTCAGAGACTGAGACAGGACTCCGAACCGACTAACTGCTGGTGCTTCTGCTGCTGTTGCTGTTGCAGTTACCAAATCGTCAACAACTGGGACGACAAGGATACAGACTCACACGAGCCACAGTCCAGTGGGAATGGGGGTTGGATTGGATGCGATGCCATGCGATGCGATGCGATGCGATGCGATGCCAGTCGAAGGTGCGGGCATATTGGCGGAGCAGAGAACTTCGTTGGCATCTTGGAGTTACTTGTGTTTGTCTTTCGGCTCTGATAGGTTTACTTTAACAACTCTTGCCAGATCATCAATCCTTTGAAATGTTTGTGGTTTTATTGGTTTGTGGAAGACATCTTTAAAGCCACAGAATTTAAGTTAAAAGGATATCCACACAGTCGACTATTAGAATATTCAGCTACTGCTGCTACTGTTGTTCTGCTCCTCTGTTGGCCAGCATCTCGTTTGGCATTCCCCTAATGCCATGAATTTTCGTTGGTTGCATTTCAGGCGGCTGCGGCGGCGGCGCGCGGCGAGGATGCTGCACATTGTCTTTGTCGGTTGTTGTGGTGTTTCGGGTTGGGTCGTGGGGCGCGAGGGGTAGCTTGCGGCTTGTTGCATTGTTCCGCTTCCACATGAACGACAGCTTTCCACACTTTTTATCGCTGCCATCGCCACTCTGCTACTTATTATAGCGTTTCGCTTCTTTCTTATGCTCTGTGCGCAAATTTCCATGGGGAGGCTCGACTGGAGTGAAGTTTGTTCCACTGCTCTGGAGTTGATTTCACACTCATGTGAAGACGCCTCGCCTCGCCTCGCAGTAGAGTCCAAAGTTAAAGCCGAACGATTCCGAATTATCGCATTTCAATTGAGTTTATCTCCACCATTCAATTTGCATAACTGAGGTCTGGAATCCATGTACAGTGTACATCCAAGAAACCAAACGACAACCTCCTGCTCCTGATGCTGCTGTTGCTGCTCCTCATTTATGGATAATTATGTCGCCGTAGAGAAGCATCGTCTGGTTTATACTCATTTTTATCGTTGCGCATTAAAAGGCTTTTAAAATTTATTGATATTACCGACTCTATTAAATTATGCCACTACCACCACCACCACCACCTCTCGCTCTCGCCGCTCGACTATGTGTTGTCTTTGGTGGCGCTTACCCATTCATCCATCCAACCATCCATCCATCCCCTCCTGCTAACTGATTCCTGCCAATGGCAGTGGCAGCAGCAGCAGCAGCAACATTTTCCTTGTCGCCAGCGACAGCTCCAATGCCGTCCGATGACTGACATCAAAAATTGGCAATGCCAAAAGCATCAACGACAGCAGCCCAGCCCTGTGTGAAGGAGGAGCAGATGGAGCCATAACTGGACGGGGGAGCACAGGCTGGAGCTGCCGAGTGGGAGCAAACTCAATTTGTGTGAAAAATACTTTTAGTTACTGTGCATATTTTAAATGTAACACACAAGCAGAGCAGCCACAATGGCAGCAGCAGCAAGAGCACCATCGTGATGTGAATTTTATAAACCAGACAAATATGAAGAACATGAAGGAGAGGCTGACTATCGCCTAACAGGAAGCAACGGATTATTTACCCTAGGCAGATCAATAATTCCTGCTGATATTGTAATGCCACTTTGATCAAATTTTTACGAGGTATGCCGAAACATATGATAACTGAAACTTTAAGGGTACTCGAAAAGTTTTTCTTTGGCAACTACAGACAGTTACTATAACCATATATATCAAAATACATACATATGTATATATGTATGTATATCCGTGATCCCCTCTTCATGACAAACATCTCTTTCGAATCGTTATACCCTTTCTTCTCAAGGGTATGAACAAAAATGCTTTATAGTGTTTGAAAGGAGCTAAAAATGGGATGAATTAATGCATAAATACTGGCAGCCATTGAAATCAGTTTAATATGCACACACACACACACACACACACAAGAGAAAGAGAGGGAAGCATAAATGGCGTATGATTGATAAATTTGCACTTTGACAGCCTTCGAACACAGTAGAGACAAGTAAGACACAGTAAGGCTGTGGTGTAGTACCGGAGAATATATTGCTGAAATTTGAAAATATAATATATAAATTATCCGAAACTATTTAAATACCTACTTCAAAATACTCAAAACATATACAAAATTATTATAAGAAGCGTACAAATTCTTCGAATTTCCATCTGAAAATTTTGTATGAAAGAATGTAAAGGAAGGAAATTTTCTCTTTGAATACAAAAATATATAAAAGCAGAAATCATTGTATAAAAGTACACATCATAGGCCCCCCGCCCCATTCCTGTCGCTCCAATTAGAATGCAACAAGCATACACAAGAAAAAACAAAAAAAAAAAGAAAGAAACGAATAAAAAGGAATCACATTTTGGCCAACATCACACTTCATTAGCACAGGTTATCGTTCCGTCTCTATATGTCTGTGTGATCCCTCGTGTCTGTGTGTGCCACGCCCCTTTGGGTGCCATTTGGAAAATTTCGCATGCACATGGCGCAGACATTTGAAAAACGGCCAAAAAGCGACCATGGCGATGGCTGTGGCTATGGCTACGGCTATGGCTACGGCTATGGCGATGCCGAGCTGGGGAAAACCCCCGAAAAATGCAAACTCCCAAGCACGGAAAAACTGCAAAGTTCGAAAACAGACACAGACGGAAAACGCGACTAGATTTGGGAGAGTGGTGGAGGGGCAACACAGGGGCCAGACACGTAACCCCTTTAGCTGGTGTCAAAGGCAACATACAAATTCGAAGCTCCAGCAGTAGCAGCAGCAGCAACAACGGCAGGAGCTCCCCAAAAAAAAACGAGGGGGAACGTTGTGAGTTGCTGCGGACACCGCAACTCTACGGTTATACCCGATACTAAGTCAGTATGGCTCTCCTCCGGCAGACGCCGCTAATATTTAACGACACGACAAAGAGTGCGTGCGAGAGAGACAGAAAATCAGTCTGAGCGTGACGTCGGGCGCTGCGTAGCCAGTGCAAATTGATTTGCTCCTTTTGGCTATGAAAATGATCTGATCTGATCCAGATTCAGCAACCTGATAGATATGGTTATTATCTATGATTCTGCGTTTTTAGTTTTCTCAAATCTGCAATATTGTGGATGCAACAGATTTTCGTCCTTTGTGGGGGCGGATGGGGGTGGGGCGAAATTCTGAGATATACGTTTTATAGTGTCATCTTAAAGGAGTGTGTGTACCAAATTTGGTTACTCTAGCCTTAATAGTCTCTGAGATTTGTGGTTGCCTCAGATTTTCGTCCTTTGCGGGGGCGGAAGGGGGTGTGGCGAAATTTGGACAGGAAACGGTCAAGGTCCGATATCACAGGAGTGTGGATACCAAATTTGGTTGCTCTGGCTTTTATAGGTTCTGAGATCCTTGAACTCATATTTTGCAATTGGCAAAACCGACCATGAAACCTGTGTGTTAGAGTGAGACAGAGCGAGAAAGAGTGAAATTGTTTTCGTGATTCTGGCTGTAATAATTATACGATCTGGTTCAGATTTTGCACTCTAGAAGATATAGTCATCTTCTACGATTCTGCGTTTTTAGTTTTCTCGTATCGTCAAAATT